TGTTCAGAGCTCATATCAACCAAGCATGGTGCTACTTTTTTCCTGTGGGGTATGGCTGCATCCAGTGGAGAGGTGTTTCCTCTGCAGTTGGCAGAGCCTCCTGGAGAGAACTCACTTGCTGTTTGAAGAGCCATGTCCTGTGTCGTGGGAAGTTCTGGTTCCAGGGACAGTGCAGGACTCCTGAGAGCTGCAACACAGATACCTTTACTGGATATCTTCATCACAGTAGAATAATTCAGGGCAAAAGATATATTGGCCAGTCTTAGTTCAGAAGTATCTGTCTTTTCAGACCCAAAACTTTCCTGCTCAGCTGTATGTCACATCTGTATTTAGCATATTTGAGTGGGATAAAGCCTCTCCTTGCATCTTACCAATCCCTTTTTAATGCATCTGTTGTTGTGTGCAATTTGCATGTGAAATTCAAAGCCAGTTCAGACCTCTTCTGATGAACATCCATTGATTCTCATTCACTCATGCTTTTGCAACAAACAGTTCATGCACTTCAGACAGGGTTTGGAACAACTGGTGGGGCCTTCTGCTGCGCCTACTCTCCTCTTCCAGCCAGGGGTAGTAGTGCAACCTTTAGGTTTTCACAAAAAAATGTGGTGCTGAGTCATCATAGACAATTGTTCAGAAATTCCTGGTAGTAAGAAAAGAAAATTCTGGAGAGCCAGATGGTTACAGAAGATCAGCTCTGACATTCCTTCTTCTGAGTTCATGTTTGGAAGACCAGATAAAAGGGAGAGGAAAGCTAATGAGCTGTTTGGGCTGCACAAGAAGGGAGATATAGGACAAATTGCTTCATCTTGGGAGAGGGAGCAGCATGACTGGTAATGGCCAGATGTAGCTTCCTGCCTGCTTAGTGCCACTTCTGTGGCCACAAACACAAGAGCTGTTTCTTTACTTCAGCTTGCAGTGCAGAAAACTGTTTCTGTCACAGAATGTGTGATTTAAGTCTAGTACTTGTATCTATTCACGTGTCTTGGTTTTAGTAGCTTTTCCACCTTGCTTCTCTTTCTTGCTGCCTTGCTCCTTCACTCCAGGGTGATACAAAAGATTAGAGTAGCTCAGTTCTCCTGGGCTGTACCCCTAAGGGAGAGACTCCTTATGCTGTCAAACACTGGGGCTCCTGTAAGAGCACTGAGAGGATTGTCACCAAGCAAACAAGCATCATAATGAAAACTGGAATATGTTGATAAATTGCCTTTGGTACCAGCAACAGTGGAGTATGGAAAAATTAGTGCATCTGAATCAGTTTCTAGATGGCTGACCCCAGTCAGGAGTTATATCACCATTTTTATCACTGCAAAGGGAATTCAGCAACAGTCAGCGCTGTAAAATTTGAGAGACAGCAGAAATTTTTAATTACTCTGTCATTTTCTGTGTATTTTTTTTTTTAATTAGTACAGAGTGGCAGCTGTCTGACTATGGCTGCCAACAGAAAAGCCCACATACACAGTGGCATAGAAGATAATTTGCTGAGGACATAATTCTTCTTTTTTTAACTTGTAAGGATTTTTGTCGAATTGATATCACTTCTCTAGTCTAATAACAACCAGTCAAGTTACTTTATGTAAAGGTTTGTCAGCTTATAAAGGCTCTGACCTGATTCCATTTCAGCTGGGAAAACTCCATTGAATTCCCTAGTATTTCATCAAGGGTTATTCTGACTCTCTCTGTCCATTCTAACCAGATACATTCACCCATGTGTCTCCTTTCAGCCTGGTGAGTGGCAGGGTTTGCTCATCTGAGAAGGTAAAAGACTAAAAGTGCTTGGTCCACCTAGAAACACTTACGGTATAAATACTGTGGGGCCTGAGCAGGAAATATGTCCAGCCTTGCCCTGGATGTATTTCTCCAATGTATACATTGGCAGTTGCTTCCATAGCTGTATTTTTTATTTATCAGTAAAGACTCCCTCTAACTATATTGAATTCCTGAGGCATCAGGTAAGTAAGAATTGCAAACATACTATATTGTCCCACTTGATTGTTGAGGCACAGAGCAGTGTGTGGATGAAAATGAGGCAAAACCTTCCTAGGAGAGCCCCAGGATGCAGCCATCCTCAGTGGTGGTGTGCAGTGACCTCACAGTGTGTGCATCCCACTGTCTATCCCAGAATTGTGCATGGTTGGGACATCCATGTGCCTTCCCAGGAGAGTGCAGCAGGGGCTGAGGCAGGTGATAACTCTGGAGAAGAGGTGAGATCTGTGTTTGTTCCTATATGTAGTGAAGGAACTGTTCTATGAGCTTTCTCCAGGCAGCCTCATGGTTAAAAATGTGTAAACAATAAGTGTTTGTCTTGCATAATCCTTGAGGGATTAAATTCTTGCTTCCATAGAAACAGCTCCTCTCTTCCTGCCCAGAGCAACAGAGGAATCCAAAGAGTTTTTACATTCAGGTGTGTTCCTTAATTCATGCCATATCTATCAAGACCTGATGGCCATTAGCCATCTGCATGAGTGATGAGGCCTGCACAGACCCATCTTCATTTCTTTTGCTTATATGATGTGTGTGTCAATGCTTTTATATCCTTTTTGTGCACATGCACATTTATCAAAGGGTTGACAGCCACTATATTCCTGTCTGTTACTTATCAGAGGCAGAGAGGGAGTTCTGCCTTCTTTTAAGAGCTAGAAAACAGGATCTTCATTTAACCTGAGTGCCTTTGAATATTTATTAAGGTATAGATCTGAAAAGCCCCAAAGGGTTGTAGTTCTGTGTGTCTCACTGGGAATAGTGAAGATTTCTGTTGTCAGGATTTTTGTGAACAGATGAAGACAGTTTGTCATGAACATCAGTGAGCACTATCCGCAAAGTAGGAAGCCAGGTAGAAGTCCTGGCTACATTATTCTAAGTTTCTCTTCTGACAAGTGATAATTTTTTGTGGGAGAGAAACTCAGGAAAGACTATTGGTAAAAAATGTGCTGCTTTGCAAAAAAGAGACTGTCCAGCAGTCTCAGGGCCACCAGCCTGAGAGAAGCTAGAACTGTCTCATATCACACAGGTGTTTAGTCCCTGGAGAGATGCAACTCCTATAAAAGCCTATAAAATTCTGTTCTCATCCCTCACCCCTGGCAGTGGCTGCAGTTTCTTCTGCTTGGAAGCGGCTTCAGTCTGTTCTCTCACATTCTAGCACCATCCTGGATATTTAATGGCAGATTCTGGGGAATGATGGTTGGGGCTAAGTGCGATTTCATGCAGTGGAGACTGGAGGGAGGTTTGGCTGTTGGCAGTGCCCTGCCCTTGGGAGGGCTGGTGCAGCCTCTGTGTTGTAACCTGTGGGACATTGGCAGGAGTTGGAATGGTGGCCATGGGGAGCTGTGCCACCGGGTCCCTGCAGGTGCTGGCCTGGCATCTGGGAGCCTCCAGCTCTGCCGAGGCCTTCAGGGCCAGTGCCACAACTGCTTCTGCACCCAAATCATATGGAAAGCTTTGTTCATTGTTTTAGTGTTATTTAAAAATGTGCATAATAACGATGTGATTTATAAAACAGACTGTTTACAAGACATATTTTGTATCTTAAGATGTGTGTACTGTAAAAAAAAAAAAAAGGAGAGGATGAAAAATGATGTTTTTCTACAACTGTCAGCAGTGACTGTATGTCTGTATCATTGTCCACCGACCGTTGTTCCTCAGGGGTCTCCCCACCATTCCTGTGATCCTGTCAGAAGCATCGGGAAGCAAGTGAATCCCTGTACAGTCTTGGGAAGAAGGTTTTGTGCCTTAAGAATGGGACCTGCTTCCCTCCTATTTATTTTGTTAATTTATACAGTGATTACCATGGAAATGTCTCTTGGTTTTTTTTTGTACATAGTTTTCTTGTTGTAAATATGGTTTTCTTGTATATAAAGTAAACATGTTTCCGAGCTTCCAGTAAGGATTCTCTGTTGCTGATTTCATTGTGAGAGGGCTGTTGTGCCCATGGGTGGGAACCAGCTAATAAAAACCTGTGCTGTGATTAAATGGTTTTATCCTGGTTTGCATCAGAAGTTCAGAACTGTTCCTTAGAGAGGAGTGAAATGGTAAATATAAGTGTTGTACACTAATTTTGTAGCATTTTTTCTGTTAGTTTAATTGGCATGGAGTAGAAGACATCAGGTAGTTTAATTTTTTTTAGCTATGTCTTGCAGTGAACAAAAGATGTTTTCAATGTGGTGCTTCTACTGGTGAGCATCCTGATCAAAGCTCTGCTGGCAGCAAACCCACAGCTCGATGGGAAGGCTCTGTCAGGCTCAGCAGGGCTGTGTTGGTTACCCCTCCTCAGGTGGCTGTTCCTGGCCAAGGTGCTGCACTGCTAGGATGGGACGGGAGTTGTTCTCCACTTGGGCCTCTGTGTGTTCTGTTTATTGCAGGCAATATGTACAGTGTCTGGAGTAAGTGAAAATGCATTTACAAAAATGTGGGAGAAGTGAATTTTGAAAGGTAGAAACTGAGTGCCATAAATGAAACCTGTAAACTTGAAACAAAAAAAATTTGGAGGTGTTTGAATGAGCAGTCCATAGAGTGGATTGTGACAAGCTTTCTCTTCCATCTCTACAGATTGGTGTGTTCATAAGATGCTGACAGGAAACTTCCAGCAGATTTATTTAAACTGAGAGGATGGTTGTAAAGTTCCACAGTACTATTGCAAAGTGGGTGGAAATTAAGTTACAATGGTCATGAACATTTTCTGTGTGAAAAGCATCTTTGTACGTGATAATTAAACAGAAGTATGGAGAGAATAGTGTATGGAAAAGGAACATCATTCTAATGTTACATACTCTTGCATGATGAAAATGGTAAAATTGAGAATTACAATGTTGGTTACCTGGAACCAGAATAAGGAGAAAAGAAAAACTACTGTGTTTACTTTCGCTTGCATCGGACCCTGAGTGTCAGGCTCTGCTTTGCGTGGCACTACAGAAAACATGCGAAGAAAGTGGCGGCAGGGAAAGATGATATTCTTATTCCTCTGCTACAGGTTAATTAATTTTGGTCTTTTTTTTTTTTTTTTTTTTTTAATTAATGTGGCAGAAGATAATTGCAAAAAATTTACTGCCCCACTCGGTGTGTCATTACTGAATGTTAGACTGCCTTCTCAGGGCTGCCATCCTCTTGGTTTGATTTAACGACCTAATGGATCTCAGAAGATGGAATGGATTGGGAGGAAGGTGTACTGTGAAGATCTCTACCAATGAGTTTAAATAAAAATATGAATAGCTGTGCACCCCCTTGCTGGGCCTGGAGTAGCTTGAGGTGTCTAATTCTCATGTGGGCACAATGAAAAGGTCCTGAGACTGGAAAGTGACACTCCATGTTGATAACAGCTAAGAGTCATGGCAGTTCTCCAGCAACTTCTGTCTGAAGAGCTCTAGCATTTTGCTGGCTTCCCCAGTGACCTGGGAGTGTTTTTCTTTACAAGAAAGGGAGAGCTGGGGCCATGTGCATATGACCTAGAAGAGCCCTTTGGTTGACTTCATGGTCAGTTGTGACCTATGGCTTTTCTTCATGGGAGCAGGGAAGGGGGTGGCCTTAGCCCTCATGTCCTCCATGAGCAGGTTGGTTTGCACTGATGGGCTACTCCAGGGGAGGAGTTGGAGCCCCAGCAGCACTCCCAGGTGTGAGCAGATCCCAACCAGGGAAGTCACAGGCTGGGAGGAATTCGATATCTGCACAGGTTGTCAAATTCTTCTTGTTCTCAGGCTGCAAACTGGATTCACAGCAGCACCTTCCAGCAGCACACAGGTTCTCCGTGGAGAGTTGTTCTTGCCTTTCTGGCAATTACCTTTTCTGCTTACCAGAGAATCAAAAGGAAAAAGGGTTTGAGAAAGGCAGAGTGGGTGCCTCAGCTATTTCACTTTTCTCCTGTATGCAGGTAAATGGTCAAGCTCTCCCTCAGCACTGTTTGTTTAACAACTAAAAAGAAAGCACTTTATGTCACTCCAAAGAGTAAATATCTGAAGTTATGGATTAACTAAGTTCCAGCAGAGCTCATGGAGGAAGAACAGATCACGCCGATTCCCACTGAATAAAGCAGTAAGTGCTTCAAAAATATTGTATCCTTTCAGACTTCCAAGTACAGCTTACTTTAATGGAGCATGAAGCTTGTAAAAAATGTCCAGTGGCAAGGGGAGGATGTCAGAACAGGCCAGAAGTGTTCTGGGAGAGCTGCTGATATATTAAAGGGAATGAACAAACCAGTCTGGAGGGAATGGCCGCTCCAGAGCAGGAGTTAAGAGACAGGGCACACCAGAGCATTCAGCAGGGAAGCTGCTCTCTGAAAAGCAAGTGAGTTGGCTGAGCTAGATGGGTGGGAACTATCTGCAGCAGGGTCTTGTGTCACTCTGCAATGATACTTGCCTTCTCTTGATACTTGCCTTCTCCTCCTCAGGTGACTCCTGCTGCAGGATGTGGAAGCTCCTCACTGTGGGGCTGCTGCTGGCTGCTTGCTCTTCATGGGGCTTTGGCGCCTCAAGTAAGTGTTCTTTTGAGAGATGGCCTTCAACCTTTCCCAGCCACTGCAATTGCTTTTCCTGCCCTTCTGCTAGGCAGAGGGAGTGGCTGGAATTGTTCCCATTTGGGGGGTTTGACTTCCTTCAGCAGAGGCTGATGGTACTGGGGCCATGGCAGCTGCCTGGTCAGAGCCCTGCTGAGCCCCATGGGCTCTCAGAGTACCACAGGGCAGAGGCTGGAGCTTGATTCTGCAGCACAGCACAGACACACATGGTGTCTAGGACAGCCTCTCTTGCTGTATTGGAGAGAAGCTGTTGCTCTCATAAGTGTCCTTTGGGAGGCACCACTACTAGTTTTCAGCCAGCACTTTTCTCTGCTTGTGCTTTCACCTTTTTGCTTGCAGTATTTTACAGCAGTAAAGATGCAAACCAAGTCCTGAGAATCCAGAAGCGGGCAAACACTTTCCTGGAGGAGCTCAAGCCAGGCTCAATGGAGCGTGAGTGTGTTGAAGAGATGTGTGACTTTGAGGAGGCCAGTGAGATATTTGAAACCAGGGAAGCAACAGTAAGTTGTCTTTTTTAAGGATGAGTGGGGAACTTAGCCAATCAATTATTTTCTTAAAGTATTGCAATCCAGGGCACAGGAGATCATGCTGTCAGTACTGAATGCAGATCTCTCCTGGCTTCTTGGGTGTGGGCATGGATTTGAGTGTCACTGTGTTAACAGTGATTGTCAAGTTACCCCTCTATGGGCCACAAAGCTTGGCTACTCAAGCATGTCCTACCTGACCCACCTGATGAGGTCCCAGACCGTTAATTCCAATCCTTACTTGACCCCACTGACTGTTCTTGCTGCTACTAAATTTTTCCCAGACCTTCTAGTCTTTCCCCTTTGTTGTCCATTCACCAGTCCTGGCTGCTTTTCAGTATATCTCCCAAGTCTCCCAGATATGCCTGACAAACATTTCTCTTTTCACTATGTTCTTTCTCTCCTTTTTCAAACTCCTACTTTGAATTGGACACTATGTTTACTGTCTGCTGATTCCTGCCCCTTTCCACACTCAGTTGTTGTGTTGGGTTAGACTCTGTTGCTATTTTGAGCAGAGTAAGCTCAAAGCATTGGATGATGCAGTTCTTGCTGTCCCTCAGATCCAAGAGGCGAGAGGGGCTGTCCTTGGAATGCCCATATTTTGTCTAACTGGGCTTAAGTGAACTCAGGTGACTTACCTGGAAGAAAGTGCCAAGAAAATAGCCTGCAAACAGAGCAGGGGGGTATGTGCTTAATACAGACAGTACAGAAGAATCACTGGCTGGTTTTCTTGGTAGGTAGTGCCAGTCACTACACTGCCAAGTAGAATGAGACCAATGTTATTGATCCCAGTGCTGTGTCCTGTTGGCCAAGACCACAAAACACTAAATCCTTGTAAAAAATGGTTTTCTCACTGTAATACAAATTTTGTTTCTCCACAGCTAAGTTTTTGGACCAAGTATGTAGGTAAGTAAAGACTTTCCTAATCATTTCTTTGTGCTTCCTCAGGAGCTAGTAGTACTCAGCCTTCTTCCTGTCATGTGTCATATACTGATTCAAATTCTCATTCTCTCTCATAAGGGGTGTGCAGAGGATGTTTTCCTGTTCTATCATACAAGCAGCCTTCCTAAAACACTTGAGGTGCACCTGTACCTATCATCAGTCATCTTCCCAGAATTAAGGAACTGGTGAAAAATGCTTTGGTGCTCTAACCATGCCTGATGTGGTCCAGCAGTAACCTGCTCTGCTGCCTTGCCTGCCTCAGGCTTTACTCTTTCCTCCCCTTCTACCCACTCCACTCACTCTCCAGATGTAATTGAGAACCCAAACTGATGGCCCTGTCACTGGCCAAGTGCCACAGAGGTGTGAGCATTAGGTGCCAGAAATGTGGCTGATACTTGGGAGTCTGGGGAGGGTCCATTCATGTTGGTGTTTGATCTGTGAGCTGTGTATGGTTCAGTGACTGAGTATTCCTCCCTCTGTTTCAGATGGAGATCAGTGTGAGAAACACCCTTGTTCCAATGGGATCTGCAAGGACGATATTGGAAAATTTTCCTGCATCTGTAACAAAGGCTGGGAGGGGGTTTTGTGCAGCTATGGTAACACTGCATTTAATCCACTATAAAATAACATCTGTTGTGACAGGGATCTTTGTGTGATAGGGGTGGACACTTCAGTCATTGCACAGCAAACTCTTTCTTTACCGCTTTCTTTACTACTGTGATTTTTTATGCTTCTTGATGTGATGAGAGGTTTATCTGTGCTTATCTAAAGCAAAATTAACTTTGTGTTGCCATAGGAGAATTTTAGAGATATGAGATATCTGAATTTTGGACAATACTGGAAACATTCAGAAGCAGGGGTTTACTTTGGAATTATCAATACAGGGATTATGGTGGGGTTTTTAAATACAGGGGAAAATACAATCCACTGCAAATATTTTATTATTGTGACAGTTCCTTCCTTGGACAAAAGCTGGATAGCATATTTAGTGATGAGCACTGTATGTCATGTATCAAATACAGTTTCCACTCTGACTTGGCACATAGTGACACGGAGTTTTCTGTTCTCCAGTTTACCTGACAGTAATCTGTTTCCTCCATCTCCCCACTGCCTGTTTCTGGACCTAGGTCTGTTTGCTGTCTAGTGGCCTGAGTGTCATTGACGCCCACAACGCTTATTCCAAATCCATTGACAGCTGTTACCCACTTGAAGCACGATGTCACTTTGCCACCTTGCCTTTCTGACTTCCCAACTCCGTCTCTCTCTTGCTGTTGTTCCCACAGAGGTCAAATACAGCAACTGTTCTGTGGATAACGGGGGCTGTGAACATTTCTGCAGGGAGGACCCCGCTGAGCAGCATCGCTGGTGCAGCTGCGCATCGGGGTATCAGCTCAAGGATGACCACACCATGTGTGAGCCTGTAGGTAAGAGCAGGATGTTTGTAGTCCAGCTTTGACAGAGGATTATTCAGACTGATATAAAAGAGTTTTAGGGGAGATTTGTCTGCAGTGCACTTCGTACTCATTTTCAAAACATCTGTTCCATGAAGAATAACTCTGCCTGCATTTCCCAGCTCCATACCCACTTGATGGCCCTTAATCCATGTTTGCCTTGTGGAGACATAGAGGAGAGTCAGGAGACTGCCTCCTCTTCCAAACTATGAGGGATTTCCATGAAGCCTCTGAACAGTATTGCCTAGACAGAGGAAATCCTCGAGAAAGAGGATTGGATGATCTGGGCTTTGCTAGTGAACTTCTCTGCATCTTCTGCAGTGGAGTTCCCCTGTGGAAGAGTGAAGTTTAACTACATTGAAGCCAAAGCAGACTTCAATATTCGGCTCATTGATGGAACAGCTGGAAGAAGGGGAGGCAGCCCTTGGCAGGTGAGGAGAAAGGGATTCTTTGCTACAAATAGTTCAGGCTCTTCCTGAACTGCTTTGCTTGCCTCTCTGCTCCAGAAAGGCTCTTGCATTGTTACTGGTGGTGTCATATGAAACTAAGATTCCCTTAGCTTTTTTGAAAGCATCCCAAAGGTTGGAGTAGCAGGAAAAAATAATTTAGTATCTGTGAGGATTCTTGACCTTGTTGCTGTTGCTAAGTTTTTGAGCTTACTGTGCCAGCATTGCTAAGACAGAGGATGGTGATGGTGCTCATCTGCTCTGTTGCTCCATCCTGGGGAACTCACGGTGTGTGATGTTTGCTTCAGCTCCTGCAACAGCCTTCCACTGTGAGGTGATCTTCCTGCCCTTTCTTATAAGCCTTGTCTGTCATAAATTCAAGTTAGCAGATTTAATCAGCAAAATATGCCATGGCAGGCTGAGTTATTGCAGAGAAAAGGGAGATCTCACAGAGCTTACCATGGAACTAATGAGTGCAAATAATTAGGGCCTGGTTCCCTTTGATATTAAAAGGCTTTTTACATTGTAGTGTGAGAGCTGCAGCCTGAGATGATGCGCTGCCTCTGGTGTGGGACACACCCCTCATTTGTGCTCTATATTTCAAAACTTTTAAGTACAAAGTGCTTCTTTGCAGTGACCAGCATCACCCCATGCTGATTTGGGTGAAGCCAGCCCTCAGTCAGGAAGGACATTCAAAACTTTTTTGTAGGTATTTCCTAGAGACTCTATTCATAGAGCTTTTGTCCCCCTGTAGAGCTTTGGCTTCAGTGAATGTGACATACTTTGGTGCTTGGTAAGTCTGGGTATTTGCCAGCATCTAAGAAGAATGAGTGTAGTATTCTGTGAGCTGTGCTCCATGCAGTGTCACACCTCCCTTGTCTTGTTTCAGATTATGCTGCAAAATACCAAAGGGAAGTTTCTGTGTGGGGGTGTTCTCATCCATCCAGCTTGGGTCCTAACAGCAGCACACTGCCTCGAGGAGCACAAGGGGTTCAGAGTTAAACTTGGTATGGAAAAATCACCTGTCCCTGTGTTTTTTAAATATAACTGTTTAATTCCTAACATGTACCATCTCAGGGAAAAGACTAGCAGGTTCTGAAGACGAAAGTCCTTGGCTGTAGGAGTGGTCTGTCTAGGCAGTATTTAATATGCACCTAAGCTTAAAACAAAGTATAGTAAAAATCTGATTTAATTGGAACCATTATCAGTCTGGAAATGAGCTGATCTCTTCTGAGCACTGCTGCTGTTCTGTAGAGAGACTTGGTCTCTTCTGCCTGTGTTTTTCTGGTGATGAAAATATTTAGGCCATCTGAATACTGAAAAAAAAGTCTTGATCCCAGAAGTAGAATATCACAGGGTCTCTTCCCACCTTTCTGTGTATTTAAACACTGTTACTTATGAGTGTTTCACTGGAGAGGTGCTGCTGAATGGCAACGCTGCCTTTACTCACTCTGCTGCTCTGGGGCATCAGAAAATGTCATTTTTCTCAGAGAAAATGTCAAATAAGTGCTTCTCCTGAATTAGCAGAAAAAAACAATTAGTATTTCATTTACACTTACATAGATTATTTTTTTTAATAGTGTTTTCTGTCTACCATTGGTGCTGAGGCATAAGCAGCTCCACTGCTTGCTTTCCATTAGTGAAAGGACAGATTATTCCCAGTATTTGTGGAGAGTCCTGCCAATATATTGTCTGTGTATATAGCCTTGAAAATAGATGGTCTGTGTGCATGTTCCATACACACTGTGGATGTGCAGGTGCTTGAGAGCAGAGACAATAAGTTTATGTATGTCCAACATAAAGAATGAATCAAAAAGTGTGTGAAGTAGCCTTGGGTCGTTTTAGGGCAAGAAATTCACCTTTTCACAGAGAGACATCTGTCACTCATGAGAAAAACCTGGAGACATCTGTGAGGGACAAGGAGCAGAGCTTTGGATGGAGACATTGCCATGTCCTTGGGGATAGCCAAGAAAGTGTTTGTACTGAGCCTGCACAGGTGGTACTCAACCTGTGTCTGTGAGGCTGGGATACCCCTCACCCTTCTGGACTTGTCCCACTGCAGCTTGCCATCCACAGGAGCAAAACAGGAGGGAGAACTTGCATCTGAATTTCCACTCAGCTTGGAGAGAAGTCTTGTAGCAGTGCTCATGTGGCATAATGCACCAGAAGTCAAAGGGGGTGAGGGAACCTGTCACTGCAGTGTGAAAGGTGTCACCCACTGGTTGATGGGTGCCTCACTATGGAGACAGTTGGTGGCTGTGCTGGTGTACCAGGTGTGTGACCCCACAGCAAGTGTGTTCCTGCACAGCCGCTCTGCCTTCCTCAGAGGAGATGGTCTGACAGCGCTTGAGTCCAGAGTTATTTCTGAGGCCTAAAGCAGAGTTTGTGTCTGTGAAGGCAGGAATAAAACCCTGCCAGCCAGCCCCCAACTCTGGTGGCTTCAGGCTGCCTCAGGGGTGCTGCAGACATTGTCACCACAAAGAAAAGAGACTGTGATAGGAGGGAAAAACTGATTTGTGACTGTTGGCTCAATATTAGCAGTCAGGGGCTGGTGCCACTTAGTACAAGACATCAGAGCATTTTTCAGCTGTCTGCTCCAGCCATGTGAGCCATGAACTGTCCTTTGTCTGCAGATGAGTAAGAAGAGAAACTCAGAAATAAATGGGCTGGAAGACCAAGATCCAAACCTGGATTTAAGGGATCTTTTGAGAATATATTTATGTAACTATTGTGGCCTGTAAGTCCCCATACCTGGAGACACTCCTTACAGAAAAAAATCTTGCCAGACCTCATTGATAGCCTGCCAGAAAACCTAGCTCTGCCTTTCCTATTGCTATGTATCACAAATGACTTCTTGATCACAAATGACTTCTTGCATTTCTGGCCCTTTTCACCATAGTTTCTTGCTTGCTTTTCCATAACTCCTTGGCCCATGAGGTAGCCATGATCATGCCGCACAAATAGCAACTGAGGAGTCTTAAGCAGTGAAAAATTCCTTAAAATACAGATGTAAGATTTCAGAAAGGAATACTCTTACCTGTCAGTCAACTTTATCTTACAAATCCTGACATTCAGCCACCCAGGCCCTGGCTATTCAGCATAAAGCTCATGTCCTGTTGTAAATGTCCTGTTTTGTGGTGTGCTTGCTCTCCCACCTTTTAATGCTGGCTCCAAGAAGGTTTTCCTCCTGAAGGTGACTCACATTGCACAAGTGTACTGAAATATGAAGACCACAGGGCAATTTTCTTACTCAGCTGATGACCAGAGCTTTAGAACTCTATGGGTATTCATGATTTCTGTAAATACAAAAAGTTTAGAGATTTGTCCATCTGTTAAGAACACTGTTAAATTACAACATAAACAGTTGTATTACAAGAGAAGTGAAAACATGGAGTGCAGTCCTAATGACCAGTGTAATCCAGATACTTCGGTCTTCAAAGTAAAGGAAGCTTTGACAGCATCTGTCATCTTGTTTGCTCTTCCAGGTAAATTCCGTTTCCGTCCTGAGGCAGATGAGCAAACCATTTGGATTGATAAATGGGTGATCCATGAAAATTACACCAAGACGACCTCAGATAATGATATAGCCATGCTGCATTTGGCTGAGCATGTGATGTATTACAAATACGCGCTCCCAATCTGCCTTCCCACCCGCAACCTGGCAGAGCAGGAGCTGATGAGGAGTGGGAAGCAGATGGTGGTGACAGGCTGGGGCAGCACAAGCGAGCGTAACACCAGCTACGCCGCTTCCCTCAGGTACATCGAAATCCCCATTGTGCCCCGGAACGAGTGTGCCCAGGCCATGAGCTTCCCTATCTCTGACAACATGCTGTGTGCTGGGAGCCTGGGAGACAGGAAAGATTCCTGCAGTGGGGACAGCGGAGGCCCTATGTTCACTAGATACAAGGATACTTGGTTTTTGGTAGGACTTGTGAGCTGGGGTGAAGGCTGTGGAAGAAGGGAGAAATTTGGAGTCTATACCAAAGTCAGTCAGTACCTTGAGTGGATCCAGCATCACATAGATATGTCAGCTCCTTTGAAGGGTTGATTCTGATCCAGAGTCTGGAATGTTGTGGCTCTGGGCTAGTGACAGTATGCAGTGTAATGTACTTTCAGATCTTCAGTATTAAATATTGAGTATGTGTTAACCTTGTGTGCTGTTTTCCTTGGTATCTACCTTTTTCCTCCTTTTTTCTTATTTACATTGGTTTGTTGCAGGTTATATTGTTTATTTGTGGCATGGTTCTACCTCGGCCTTACAGGCAAGAAAATACCTTCTGTTAGCTGAGATGCTGTACTTACAACATTGTAGAAAATAAGGTTGTCTGTGGTCAGACAACTCCATCTTTGAAATAAAAATTTCAGTTATTTAAAATGTCTGAACTGGTTGGGGTGGAGGCAGGAGAGGACAGAGAAAAGTGTTTTGCAAATAACCCTGGAGATGCAGTTCTGTTGTTTCAGCTGTACTGCAAGGTATTACCCACAGTAACTGTTCTGGTTTGCTCGGTATTTGTATAATTTTTCTTTCAACCCAGTGAAATTTTTATTATATCTTTACTACCTCCAGTTCTTCACACCTTACTCCAGTGTTCACGGATTGTTGATTCAGCAGGTGACTGGAACTTATCTGTATTTTCTGTTCTTTGTACACTTGATGCCTAATTTTACTTTCCCAAACTTCCTTAAAAGAGAATGGGAACTTGTCTTTCATGTTATTTACAAAAAAACCACCACCACCACCACCAAAAAACTCAACAAAAACAACAAACAAACAAACACCAAAATAAAACACAAAAACAACAACAAAAACACTGAAAGAAAAGGAAAAAAACCCCAACCAACTTCAATTCCAAGATTTGGCAGGCTCTGTTTATCATGAAGTCTATAATTCTCTTCTAATTAATAAGCAGACAAACACTTCTGTTCTGGAAGAAGGGAAAATATCTCTGCTCTAGTGATGTTTCCAACATCTTGATGGGCTTGGATGCATGTTTGGATCAGTGAAGAACTTCAGTCTGCTCTTGTGATGAGACTGTTAAACAAAAACCCCCCAGGTGCAATGAAATTTTACTAGTTTGGAAGAAATTTAATATTATATCAGTGAGGAGGCTTAATAACTCTTAAATTTGTTCCCTCAGAAGCTGCCTCTGCTTATTATCCAAGTGAGGATTTTGAGTCATGCACTGAAGAAGTAGCAGTCAAACCAACAGCTTCTGTGTCACTTGCTGGCTCTGTCCCTCTCCTCTCCTCCGCTTTTTGCCTTGGGACAGGATTTAGGGGTGGATGAATGTTAAAAGAGTAATGCTTTGAACAGCAGCCTTCAGGCTGCACTGGGAAGAGGGGACCTGTAATGCTGTCTTGCAGGGAAAAATACAATTTTGTTCAAAGCCAGTAAAACAGAGGTCTGAGTAACAGCAGAAATTGTCATGTCAGAGAGGCTGTGACTGTGACAGGGCAGTATTTGCCTGCCTGCAGGTGACTACTGTGAATCTTCCTGCACACTCCCAGCTCTGCATATTTCAGAGGTTTACAGAGCAGCTTGTGTGTTTTCCAGATCTGTTGGTCTTACCTGCTGGAAGGTGATCGAGTGTCAGAAATCTGCTCTCAAAATTTCCATATTTTCCTGCATAAATCTGTTGCAAAAGGTGGCTTTTATTACTGAAGGATATTTTTTTAAGACCTTTTGATTCTCTTTTTAATATACCTATGTGTATGTGTGGAAACACACATGCAATTTTCTTCTGATTTTGGGTTTTTAATGTGTTTCATAGAATTCAGGTTGTCTCTTCTCTGTCAATATTTGTGATGGGTTAATGATCAACCTCTTGACCTCATGGCTGTTCCTGGTATACATCCAAATCTCTTTCCTGTCTTCCTCTAAAAGATAAGGAAAAACCTGAGTATAATAATGAGCATGGTTCTTTGTAAGATGAACTCACTCTGGATCCTTAGTATCTGAAAACATGCTGCAGACAGTGGAGGGTTAGGTGCTGTCAAATCCTGGTAAATCAGCATAAGAAGGTAATGCCAAGAAATCCAAACTTCTGTCTTGTACCTGTCCAGGTATGTGATGGTTGGTGCCTGGCTGGGGTTGGTGTGGATGATACTTGCTCAGCCCATCAGGAATTGCACAGTGGCTGCTGGGACTGCAGGAGCTCATTGTGCATCTGCCCTTGGCGCGAGAGCTGGCACAGCAGGGACTGGGCTGTGGCTGGGAGCGGCGCCTGCTCCTCTGGAGTCTGGCCCCTGCACTCCCGTGCTCCCTATGGCTTTTCCTTAGGGGCTGTGGCTCAGAGCCTGCACCTCAGCCTGGGCTGGCCCAGCCTCTGCCTGTGGGGATTCCTGCTGGGGTGGCTTGGAGAAACAAGGGACACAGGTCAGAACTGGGGAGGTTCTGATTTCTTTGTCCCTGCTCTTGTCCTCTTGCTTTTACTTAATCTTTGTTGCCAGCTGTTTTTTTGACAACATACTAAGTTGATTCTTCTTTTCCCTCTGAAGGAAGTTGGAGTGTTCTGAATGCTCACTGACATGGAGAGCAGCTCCTCACTATTTCTCCTGCTGATGTGCTACATCAAGAGCAGCTGCCTGTTTTCATATTCAGGTACTACTTCTGAGTTACTTTTTTAACTTGTACTACTGTGCCAATTTCAGCATTTAAACTGAAACTACATTCCTGTTCTGCACACAAAGTTCTGTGAGTTGAAGGAACACTTCCTGAAATGTACAAGAAAAAAAAAACTATTCATATATATCCAAGAGAAAACAGCCTTTCTTAGCTTTCTACTTAGCCCATTTTCCCGTTGAAAAATATTCTCCTTGTGATATTGAATCCAAAAACCATTATAATTTTTGCATGGCAAACACTTCCAATTTGGAAAGATAAAATGAGGCACTCTCAGCATGTATTCTTGGACCTTGTGTTACACAAGGTTTGGAAAAGGCTTCAGAGAGCTGTAGAACAGGAACAGGAGTGTACAGGGTCTCAGGGATCATTGTGGCTGTCCTTGCAGAGGAGGAAGATCAGAGCTGGCAATGTATCTACACACTGGAAGGCTCAGCACAGGCATCTCCTCTGTGTGGGACACCTACTTGGAGCAGATGAATCCTCTGAGGTGACCCCAGAACACAAGGGGTGGTGAAGGGAAATTTCACTGATATACATGAAAGACATTTTCTCTGTTACTGGACAGCAGGATCTGTCAGCTGCTGCTGAGGCCTTGCATTGACATGTTTGGAAGAGGGGCAGGTGGTGATGGTGCCATTTGAAACTCTTGGGCCAGGAAACTGGCTGAAGTGTTTGTGAATCTGAGCTTTTGGTTTATTTTTGGTGCCAGGACAGGCCAGTTTGTGCACTACAGGGCTGGTCCACGGTGCAAACAAAAGCAAGTGGCATGGTGCTGACCAGGAGATCTGCTCTGAGAGTGAATTCATGGTTCTAATCAAAATGTCAGTTTACATGGACTCTAAAAAAGGAGTTTTTAAATTTATATTTTCAGTAATAGATATGACCATTTATGACTGTTCTCTTCATTTGTGATTTCTTCTTGCAGATGGATTTTTGGTTTGATTACAAAGGTAGGTAAAAAAGGAAATTTCAGGAAATGTGTATCTTGTGCCCCTCTTGGGTACAAAGAATTACATAGCAATTTAAAGCCAGATTTCTCTTAATTCCTGGAGTTACACTATACCTTGTTCCTTCTCCGTGGATTTAAATCCATGCAGTACAAGTACCTGTAACAATGGTGGAGTGTGCAGAGTAAGGGACTACAGTTACTTTTGCATCTGCCTACCGAGTTTGGAGGACACAGCTGTGAAAGAGGTGAGTACAGGAACAGACACATTGACACATTGCAAAGGAAGGATGGCATGTGGTCATCTCCCACCTGCTTTCAAGGGATGACAGGGAATTACCCCTTCTATCACTTTAGAGGGACAGCAACTCTAGTAACTCCTGCCATAGATGTCTGCACTAGAAATCAGTCATGGTGAGGCTCTTCTCTTTTAGTCAGTCATCAAACAAATGAGACAGAGCTTACTGTAAGAAAAAAAATTATTATATTTATAATATATTAATAATAGGAAAGGAAGGAGAAAAACTGCCTTCTCTTGTCAGATTTTTGATCCTCTGAAAGTCTGTATTCAGTTTGCAAACTGAGGCATGAAATAACAGCAAAAGCCAAACTAATGTGGAAACTATGAATCATAAGTAATTTTTTTTCCTCCAAGTGTCAACTTTTTCTCTGTATAGTGAAGCAATTAAACATGAATATTTTTAATGTAACAATGAATAAAAATCTCAGTTTCCCAGAGAATTTGCCATAAAATGCCCTGTGCTTTAAACCTGCCTTGATATAAAAGACAAGGTGTGCAGATGGATCAAAACCAGATGTATTTAGAAATGTTTGCTCTTCTAGGCCTTTACTTGCCCCTGCTCCACAGGCAGAAAGGCCTTGAGCCCAGCTGTGGCCTCAGGACAAAGTTAGCAAATAGGAGGAGAACAGTCGAAACAGAACACCAAATATAAATCTGGTTTGCTGCAACTCAGCCTGAGTTTCTGAAACTGTAAGAAGTGGTTCCTTCTGTTTGCCTGTGAGATTCCAGCAGATGTTTTCTTACTTTCCTTGATGCTGTGGTAGCTCTGGGAGCTGCCCGGGGCCCGTGTGCAGCTGTGACTGTGCAGTGCCGGTGTTTTCCTGGCAGAAAGGTTGGAGTGCTGCTACGCGAACAGCGGCTGCTGCCAGCACTGCAGGGACGGCGACAGCACCTTCCACGTGGTGTGTTCCGGCGTCAGGGACTACGCCCTGCATGAGGATGGGAAAAGATGTGTGCAGCCAGGTAAAGCAGAGGAGGCTCGAGTTACCTCAGGCCAAGGGCACGTTGGCAGGCAGTATTACAAGTAATAGCAGAAGAGCTGTAGACGCTGCAGCTACAGCAGCTTGCAGTTAGTGTGTGAGAAGATCGGCCTTATTTAATAATCTCTTTTAAATGTTAAGGTTTCTCTTATTGGGTGCCTGTAATCCAATGTCCCTGTGAGCACATAGTGGGTCACAGAGCAGCAGGACAATCAGTTCTGGATCTGTTCCTGCTGCATCCAAGCAGGCTGAAAGGAGTCGTGATGCTCAAGTGCCAGTGGGAAGCAAGGGGACAG